ATGCAATACTTCCTTCTAGAACGAGTGGAAATCAGCCGCAGTGCCAAGAGGATGGCAGCAGCTTCAGCAGTAAAGACGGAGCAAATACTTGGGATTCTGTAGCTATAGGTATCATCAGCGATAATGACGCCACAGCCTACATAACCCGCAGATTTTGATCCGTCAGTAAACACAGGTACATACTCTGAATATTGGTGACGATGAGAAATGAATAGTTGCTGGAAGATAATGGGTGCAACATTAGATTTATTATACATCATAAAAGGGGAATAAAATTGATATGGTATAATGTTCCATGGAGGTATGAGAAGATGATCCACTGATTGCGATGGTGATTTGCAAATGTCAAAAGTTTGAATGAGTAAACGCATGCGAGCATGAAATGGACGGACGTGAGAAGATCTAGCTGCATATAATCTCTCCAAGCTTGATGAAATTACATAATGCTTTAGTGGATGATATCTAGAGGACATGATACGAAAGTAATAACTGAGAGATAATTAAAGGATATGAAAATTATGACAAGGTTTTTTTTTTAATGAAAAATATGACAAGATTTTTTTTTTTAATAAAAAATATTAAAAAGTCGAGGAAGTTGTCAAAATTATAGATATTTTACTTAAAGAATCACAACTTTTACATTATTTATCTATAATTTTGACAACTTCTTTTTTGACTTTTTAATATTTTTCATATCTCTATTAATATATCTAATCATCAGTTCAGAATAGTAATTAACTAGAAATACCCACAAGTCTCTGCTGTGGGCATTGCAGTTGAGCCAGTCATGCTCCACCCGAAGAAGATTATTAACTAGCTCAATTTTTAGATTAGAAAGGTGGCAAATATTTGGAAATAAACTAGAAAATTTTTAACCAATTCACAAATGGTGAGAATTGAATTTTCAGATGGGTATGCTAAACCATCCTTTACATCATTAAATTCCTTAAAATGTAACAATAAGGAACTTTCAGTTATGTTTTTGTCAGCCAGTAACAATAAATGACACGCCTAACATTGGAATTGTGCACA